AAATTGACAGGGGAGCTGAAGTCACACAGATTGAGCACATAGAAATTGGGGGTGGGGGGACGGACCACTACCTGAAACATCAGAGCAAGAATACGAAACTCCGATTGGCTTTTCTGATGGGGGTGGGAGGCTGCAGGTGGGCCTTTTGGCATGCTGGAAATAATGGCGCTCTGTACGCTTGATGGAAATAATTTAGCGAAAGCACATGATTGCTACACGCAATTAGAACTTGGAATAAAACATGATTGCTGTTTTCATGTTTGCATATGTAGGATTATATTATAATTAAATGGAATAGTAACAAGAGGTGTGTGTAAATTATCTTCCTGGCTTGTGTGAAAAGATAGAAAGAAGCACGAGTGGACCTAGAGCAGTGGGGAAAGCTCTGTCTATGGACTATTTGTTCCAGGAAATCCTACCACCTTGCTAGGAAGCTAAAGCTATTAGGGAGTTGGCCTCAAGTAAGACAACTGCCGGGATCCTGGCTTTGAATCATCAAAGGACCAGACTTTCACAGGTTAGGGAGAAGCATGAGCTCCTATGACTAGGTTGAGGGAATTTTTAGAAGGAGATTATCCTGTCTGTGTCAGACTGTGCCTTGTCTAAAGCAGCGTTCCCCATGAGAGGTCTGTTCCTATTGGCATATAGATTTGATCAAGGAGACACTTCTCACCTACATCCCTACCAGCTAATGATGTCCTACGACTGGCATTTCTTCTCTTGCTGTCTCTATCTCTTTGCTTAAAGCTAAAGATTAATTGGCTGACTCTTCTTCATTAAATGTTAGCTCTTCACTATTAACCTAAGTAATTTGGGTCTCAGGCTGTGAGAATGAGAATTCGACATCCAGAATAGATAGATTTGTAATTAACAATTGGTGCATGGTGATAGATCCCAGATAAGGGACCAAGGAGGAAGAACATGGTTTGGGGAGCTGACATGTTGAGTTAGAGGTACCAACAGAACATCCAACTTGCACTGTTCAGAAGATGGTTCTATGAACATTCCTAGAGCTCAAGATGTGAATGGATTAGGGATAGACATTTAGGAATCATCAGACATTGGGTGATGAAACCAAGCCATAGGAGTGAATGAAATAACAACATAGGATGAATGGAGACAGTGAGAAGCTGGTCAAGGGTGGTTCATGGTGGAATACCAATTTTAAAGGTGAGTAGAGGCAGGCAGTCTCAGAAAGAGAAGAAGAAACCGGAGATGTAGTAGGAAAAGCAAGAGAGGCTGGTATCAGGAAAGCTATGAGAGAAGTTTTGACATATAGAGCGAGTGACAGTGTCAGTGCTACAAATATGTCAACATAGTAAGGCTGAAAACACTGAAATTCAAATGCATGAGATTTCAAAGCGGTAAGTGGGAACACAGTGCAGGTCCAATAGGTATGTGTCTAATCTTTTAAAATGACTCAACCCAGTAGGATTCTTTCCAACAAAAAGAAATTGGGCCAGTCTGTTTATTTACTTTTCACCCACCATCTCCTGTGACTATCTGTTTGGCTAGAGCCTGCTGTTTTTCTGTTGGGATCCCTGGTCATGGATCCCAGCTCCCCCTGGGAGTACCAGTAACACCCTTTCCATGTAGTCTAGGAAGGACCTTTCTGGACCGTTCTGGTTTCCACCTCCTTGGACAGGGAGAAAATGGGGTCGTCAACTGGCAGAGGGGTTGGGCAGCATGTTCAGTGGGGCTAGAGGAGCCTGTGGGGACTGAACAACGGTGTGGCAAGAGCAGGTTTCCGAGAGAATACAGGGTCACATCCTTCATCCTGAAAGGCAGGACACATGTGGGATAGGAAGGGAGAAATGTGCCCAATGTGCCGCTACCATATGTTGTTGGCCTGGTCAGGGACACTCACCGATCTCCTTGTCCTCTTCCTAGAGTGGGTTCAGAGTGGAGGAGTAAATTCTGAGCAGCAGATCCAAAAACAGCAGATGGAATATGGCTATCAAATAATATATTAAAAATTGCTTCAGGGGCATCTGGGTGGCTCAGTCGGTTAAGTGTCTGACTCTTGATCTCAGCTCAGGTCTTGGTCTCATGGTTGTGAATTCAAACCTCACTTGGGGCTCCATGCTGGGCGTGGGGCCTACTTAAAAAAAAAAAAAAAAAGAAAAGAAAAGAATTACACCAGAATTTATACATCTGCTTGGACATTATTCCCAGCTCTAGTCATCTCCTCCCCTTATAAGGGGGATGCTCGTTCCAGGGATGCAATTATTACTCTGAATGCCTTTGGGGCTCTTCATCTCTTTTAAAGGTCCCCTTTATCTCCTTCCATATTAATTTTCTTTTGCTGCAAAACATAATGCCATGAACTTACTGGCTTAAAAGCAACACCCATTGATTAGCTCACTATTTTGTAAGTCAGAAGTCCTTGTGAGGTTTGGCTGTGTTCTTATCTGGAGGCTTAGGGAAAGCATCAGCTCCCAAACTCATTCAGGCTGTTTAAGAATCCTGTTTAGGGTGGTGAGGTGGCTCAGTGGGTTGAGCCTCCAACTTGGGCTGTGGTCATGATTCCACGGTTCGTGGGTTCCAGCCCTGTGTCAGGCTCTGTGCTGACAGCTCAGAGCCTTAGAGCCTGCTTCAGATTCTGTGTCTCCCTCTCTCTGCCCCTTCTCCACTTTCTCTCTCTCCAAAAAAAAAAAAAAGAGTCGAGTTCAGTGCTGGCTGCCAGCTGGGGACCATTCTCAAATTCTAGAGGCCGTGCTCATTTCTCATCACGTGGTCCCTCCATCTTCATGAGCAGTAGGGTGTCCAGTCATTCTTAGGTGGGAATTTCTCTGACTTCTTCTGTCACCAACCAGAGAAAATGCTCTGCTTTTAAGGGATCACGTAATTAGACCTCGCTCACCTAAGTGACCTCTCTTTTAAGGTCAAACCTTAATTATATCTTCAAGATCCCTTTTGCCATGCAATGTGACATGTGATGTCCCATCATATCCACAGAGAAGGGTCTTATACAAAAGTGAGAGTCTTTAGGGGTCATTCTTAGAATTCTGCCTACCACACTTTCACAGCCAATGTTCTTTTTATAGGCCGCCAGGAGTGAATCAACTCTTCTGGACGTGCACAAAAGTCATTTTATGATTTGAATACAAAGAAATGGGTGCATTTCATTTGCATGACCCATAAACAAGATCTAAAAGTAATTTCAACGTGGAAGTTTTCTTATTTCATGTTTGATTAGGCTACTGAAAAGGGAATGCTTTTTATGGGAACTGATGTGTTGGAAGAAAAAAGAAAAAGAAAAATATTTGAATGGAAGCACAGTGCATAAGTACGTGAAGCCCAAAATTCCCTTCTCAGTTTTAGATAAACTGGTCTCCTGGGACCCACATGTATTCACTAGCAATGGAATTTGTGTCTTAATTTCCCCTCCCCTCCCACCTGCAAGTGACACTGGGCCAGAGGAGTAAAATTCTTGTCTAGCTCAGCAGTTCTAAAGGGGAGCAAAGCCTCCTGGGCACTATTTGGAGAGATAGCAAGAGGCAGGCTTTTGCATTTCTGTGGAGTTTAGACAGACCGTGCATCTATTACAGGTGGGTGGTCTAAATGATCTGTAGCCAGTTTAACTCCTTGGGGTCTTGGGTCCTGGAATATGACTAATATTTTTAAATCAACTCAGTTCTGGATGGTTTTCTGGAGACAAAACATTTAGAATCAGAAGTGATTTTATTAAAACAAGGAGAAGCAGTTCCCCAAGGGGAACTTAGCTTCCTTACCTCGGACTTCCTTTTTCTGCCTTTCTTTAACCAAAAAATTAAATAAATAAACACATGAATACACAAATAAGCAAACAAACAAATAAATGCCTACTCGTTTTAACTAGTATGTAAGCAACCAAGCTCTCGAGCTTTGTAATGTGCTGTAGTGAGAGGCAGGGAAGGCTTCCACCTACCAAACCTACAGGATTAAGTAATGAAGACAAATTAGGAAAATAACCCTGGACTTCAGGATCAGTGTTACATAAACATGCCAAATTCTATGCTAAAAAAGAAGAAGCAGAATATATCTGTCAGAGATGAAAACCATCTCAAAGAATGAGGTGATACAACCCCACATTAATTTTTAAATTTGTAAGGCTAGGATTTGTAAGACATGTGTTAGGTGGCAGAAAGGAAGAAATAACACTGGATTAAAATGAATGCTCCTTCCCTTTTGGGATGAGCACTGGGTGTTGTATGGAAACCAATTTGACAATAAATTTCATATATTGAAAAAAAAAAAAAGAAAAAAATTAAAAAAAAATGAATGCTCCTTCAAGAGACTAGCTGGGTATAATAATGGGAATACTTTTATAAAATCTGTATATATAATATATATATATATTATACACACACACACACATATTCATTTTTCAGATTGTTCATTATTTGTGTCTGCCTGACGTTCCCTCACTACCATCATGCACTTTATGTAACCTGGCATTTTCTTTTTTTTAATTTTTTTTTCAACGTTTTTTATTTATTTTTGGGACACAGAGAGACAGAGCATGAACGGGGGAGGGGCAGAGAGAGGGAGACACAGAATCGGAAACAGGCTCCAGGCTCCGAGCCTGACGCGGGGCTCGAACTCACGGACCGCGAGACCGTGACCTGGCTGAAGTCGGACGCTTAACCAACTGCGCCACCCAGGTGCCCCAACCTGGCATTTTCTATTTTAATTTTATCAATGTGCTGGCCTTAAAATATTTTGTCCAAACCTATATGGAAACAAATGATTACATTAAATATTTGATGAAATTATTTAAATATTAAACTTACTAAACTCTTCCTCTTGCCATCTCTTTCCTTTCCTTTCCTTTTTTTTTTTTTTTTTTTTTTTTTTTTTTT